GTCACAAAAAGAGTTTAAGTGTCCTACCCAGGATGGTCTCTATCTAGATAGAGACAAAAATCATCTGATCTAAAGTAGTCTTTCTGCTTCATCTCTCCTCTCCCTGTCCATCACTCATGTTTTCTTCTGGTCCTGGTATAACACCAGACTTTTTTCCTCATAGCACTTCTGAGTATCTGAATTGTTTTGTTTACTTACTTTGTTCACTTGTTTTTGTTAGCCCTCAAATGAAAACCCTATGAGAACAGGAATTTTACTGTTTTGTCTCTCAAGTGACCTCACTGCCTAGAACATCTCTTGTACTCAATAAATATAGCTGGCACATAATAAGAGCATAATACTTGCTCAGCCAGTGTTTTTGAATAAATGACTACATCTGGAATCTCCAGGTAGCAGTGATTTTTTTAGCCATGCCCATGGACCTGGGATGGGAATGAACAACTCTAGATGGGGAACATCTGCCTCACTACCAAATCCCTTGCCTGGTTAAAGAAGCAAACATATGGCAATGACAACAGGGCAGGGTAGTGCCAAAGGTGAAGAAAGGCAAGGGCACCTGCTTCAGCCCTTGAGGATCTTTATTCCCTGAAAAAGTCTCTGAAGGAAAATTCTTAGGGGCCTATGAAAGATGACCAGTATATAGCTTCTCAGTCAATTCTACTTTCCTACCCCTGTTTTGGGTAACAAATGAAGTTCAACGGCAAAGTGACAGAAAGAAATGAGTTATAAGTGATAGTAGCTCACTCATTTGGGCTAGTTTGGAGGCAAAACTCAAGTAATCTGGCAGTTCCCCAAAAGGTTAAACATAAAAGCTATTATATGACCCAGCAATTCCAGTCTGAGGAACATACTAATGAGAAAAGAAAACATACGTCCACACAGAAACTTGTACACAGATGTTTATAGTAGCATCATTCAGAAGAGGTTAAAAGCGTAAACAACCCAACTGTCCATCAACTAATGATGGATAAATAAAATGTGATATATGCATACAATAAATTTTACTCAGCCATAAAAAGATAGGAAATACTGATACATGCTGTAATGACGATGAACCTTGAAAACATCACATTAAGTAGAAGAAGCTAATCACAAAGGACTACATATTATATGATCCCATTTACATGAAATGTCTAGACTAGGCAAATCTATAGAGACAGAAATTAGGTTGGTGGTTGCTCAGGGATGGGGGATAATGACCACCAAATGGGCACAAGGTTTCCTTCTAGGATAATGAAAATGTTCTGAAAGTAGGTAGTGATGATGATTGCCCAACTCGGTGAATGGCGCACTTTGTAAATAACCACTGAATTGTATAGTTTAAATGGGTAAATTGCATGGTATTTGAAATAGATCTCAATGAAGCTGTTATTAAAGACAAAAGCAAAAAACTCATGCAATAACCAAATCCTTCTGCAGTCTGCAAAGGGTGGGGAAATGTTGGAGCCTCCTGTGTTTCTCTCATGGAAGGAAAAGAACAGCTCTGCCTATAATATCTGGGGTTTTGTGGAGGTGACCCCTATACCCCACTTCCTCCTCCCATTAGCTTGCCCTGCTCCAATGGGCTTGGTCTCATATTTTATCGCCACTCATTTAACAGACTTCTGCAGAACACCTACTATATGCCAGGTGCTGTGCTAGACACTGGCCCTGAAATGTAAGAGGAACGGGCTTTACCTTCAAGGAGCTACCACTTTCATAATTATTCATCTGACCACAGGGCAGGAAACAGCAAAAGGAAGAGTCCTAAGTGGTATTCTGTAGTGGGTTGTGGGCAGAAAAGAATTTTCCATATCTGGGCTCCAGAAAGGTAGACTCATGTCCACACCGGAAAAAGCGCACACCGGTCTGGTATGTGAATATATCTCAAAGGCGGGGTGGGGCAGAGTGTGCAGCAGGGAGCCCTGGGAGCTAAATCCAACAGGAAGCTGGAAGTCACAAAACCCCTAAGGCAATGAAATAGTACCAGCATTAGCCTTAAATTCCATCTGGCAGTACTTTGGATGTTTCCTTTTTTTTTTTTTTTTTGGAAAAGGAGATGAGGGAGGAGGGAGAGAACTCAAATTATTACTCAGGATTTCCACTGTGTTTAATGTTTGCAAATTACTCTTGCCCTCACTTAGTCCTGAACTGCCTGAAATAATAAAGGAATTTGAGAACCCAGCCAAGAACTCAAAGTACTTAGGAGATATAAGAACATATCCTTGCATCTGGCAAAGCAGGCATTATTTAAAAAAATTAATCCCATAAAATAAGCACTATATAAAAACTTAATCCAATATAATAATCTCTGTAAAGCTGACAGGCCACTTGGTGGTGGTAAATGAACTCTGTAAATTTATGTTCTAAGTTGGCCCATTCATAACTTGACACATGTCAGTTTTGCCAGGCACTGACATCCTTTTTTGACATGAAAGAGTCCTATGGCACAGCATGTATTTTATGGTAGCAATTAACAAAAACACCAGCTTCTTGCTGTCAGGACTAGAGCATCAGTATCACCATATTCAAGATGCAGGATTGATAAAGTGGCAGATTTTTGAGTGACTGTCTATCAGCTGGGCCAGCACCAGCAAGCATAGCACTGCAGGAGCTGCAAAATGCTAGGAGCACTGTGGCTTGTCCTGGACTCAAGCTCCAGAGGGTACTTCAAATGGATGTTTTTGTGCGCCTGTGATTACATTTATATTTAACAAAGCTTGGTGACCACCTCAGCTTGCTACCTTTAGGAATGCTCATTGGTTAACTGGGAGACTACTCAGTAAAGCACAGAAAGTATGTAAATATAAAATGATCATTGATATGAATCCTATATGGAAAAAGTGCTTCAATTAGCTATTTTGAAAAATATGCTGGGATCACATAAAGATAGAAAAAGAATTTTGAAAATGTATTCAAAAGACATCACCTACTTGATTTCCAGTCAACTTTCCACTCTTCCCTCCTACACTCCACAGTACACTCATAAAAGCTTGACAACACACATACATACATGTATACATACTGAAAATCTAACATGGTAAAGTGGGAATTACCAGGTCAAGATCTGAAAAAGACCAAAACTCAGCAAGATGAGATCAGCATCTAAGGCTGCTCTCTTCTTGAGACATCTGCTGAATTAAGAAAAGTTTCCTGAATGGCTGAGCAGCATTTCTGATGGCCTGGTGGGTTCATGAGAAAAAAAAAAAATGGAGTTCTGAACTGTCAATAAGTTGGCTGTAACTTCAAACTAGACTATGGAAAAAAGCATTACTATAGACAAAAGTAACGGTAAAAGATTTAATAAGCAGGAATTAAAAGTCCAAATTGCTTAATATAGTAATTCTAAAGTTGTATGCACCTAAAAATAGGTCTGAGAATATATAAAGCAAAAAACTGCAATTGCTGTAAATCATCATCACTGACCTAAACTGCAAGTATGATGGAAGATTTAACATGGTTCTCTCAGTGATGGAAAATGCAAAAAAAACATGAACATACAGCAAATTTGAAAAAAAAAAAAAGATGGAGAAATCAGGATCTATCATCTATAGAACTTTCATCTCATGATCCTAAAACACACTCTTTTCAAGCCCATATGGAAAAGTAACAGAAATTGAACATACACCTTTCATCTATACAATACAAAAATGTATGCCCATAGACACTAGATAGAACAGATTAACCTGGCTCCTGATAAAAAGGTATGACCTTGTAAGGTTTGAGAGCTCTGTGGTTTCAATAAGCAAAGGAGCCCTGAGATGAGACGATAAATTGTCCCTTGTGTCTCAGAGACTTAGGAACTACATGGAATTAATGTTGGGCTGGACCTGAGATGGTAAGGATAAAAACAGGAAAGAGAGTGGAGTGCGAAGAGTCTCCACAGCCCTCTCTCTCTTCTCCCTGCCCCTGGGAGTTGCATGATTATACTTTGAGTTGTGTGGAAGGAAGAAACAAACCTCCACCCTCTATCTAAAAATAAAGGGAAGCAGCAGGAATAACAGTCTTCCATGCAATTGGGCAGAATGAGTTAGTTTTTCTGTGGCCAAACCCTGCTACCTTTTCTCCTGGCTTCACATCTCTTCTTCCTCATCCTGGGAATCCATATTAGGTTCTTGATGACCATCTTTGCCATTTCATCATCACAAACATTTACATGGGTGAGGGGGCATGCAGATCCTGAAAATCTAGAGATCCTGATTCTAACAAGACTTACCCTATGAGAAAAGTCGGCCTACCTCCCACCTCATTCCTGCCTCAATCTTCAGAGAGAATAAATGGACCCTAAAAATTGGTCTTTACTTTGATCTTCAACTTCAGTGGCCTGGATACATGTTTGTTGTACTCTGGGTATTTGAATTAGAAATGTGGATATGTGGAGGAGTCCTGCTAGGAACCAGAGAGCTTGAGTTGGAGCTAAAAGCTTGGTGGGATGTGGTGGGAGCAGACATGACCTGTGTCTCAGACGAATCAGAAGTCCTGACTACTACCCTATAGCACAGAAACAGGTTAACTGGAACCACCTCCCTAGCCCAACCTAGTTGCAGGAAATATACTAGTGGGCTTTCTGGATCTGCTGTGGCCCTGACCTAATTCTGTGAAAGAATCTCATCAACACCAGTAGGTCTCTCCCTCATTTCTCCCCCAATCTGGCAACATTTAGTGCTGAGTAGAAAACCAGTTAATCAGCAGTGTTTCCCTTGCAGGACAGCCAATCTGGTGTTCCACATTGCTCCTCCCAAGCCAGCACTGTGTCGGATCCTTCTGCATCAAGCACCTAGCATTCAACTACTCACAGACTTTAAATTCTGGTGTCTGGGCATGTATGCACACACGTATTCAACTGGCTGTTTTGAAATCATCCCCAGTACAAAATTTTATAACCTAAAGCACTTCCTGGGTTTTCACTAGCACCACTTCAGGAAGTAAAGCATGTTGATGTTTGCTCAAAGTGGCTTATTAATAAGTAACCTCTGTCATTTTTCCCTTTCCCTCTCTGGAAGAAGGCCATCCAGACTTACCCTCATACATCTCCAGGATGTGAACCGTATCTCCAATCTGCAAGGAGAGCTCCACATCTTGAGAGGCATTGTAGTTGTAGATCGCTGCAAATGAGAAACATGGGGGAAATGACATCAGTGGCAGTTAAAATACAAGTCACTAAACAACACATTCAGTGGTTAATGAATTACTGATTTAACAAATAGCCCTCTATTTTCATGCTTTTGTGTGAATCACCCACTGCAAAGCGGAGATATCCTCCTAAACCCCCATTACTGGTATGTTACTGTCATTCTTCCACCAACAAAAACTGGTTGGTTGCCTATTGCATATTATGTTAGAGAACAGTGATGGTGACAAAACTCACAGACTTGGTCCCTGTCCCAGAGATTTTTTAATAGTCTAGTAGAGGAAGGAGGATATTAAATGTATAATATTACAGAAACAACTACTTCATTTAAATTGTAGCAAGAATTATGAAAGAAAAAAACCAGGCTACAATGAGAATATGCTGTGAGGTTCTTTTAGGTCAGTCCCCTTGTTTATCAGACAATAGCCAATCTACAACACCACTGAGCTTATGATCTTTAAGACACAGAATGAGCCATCCCCTGGCTTGCCTGACACAATAATTGGGAGTTAATTGGGAGTTCCATCTACTTGGTAGGAATAGGCTGACACAGGTTCATGGCAGACATGGCTGCCTTGTCCCAGTTCTAGGCATCCTGAGTAACTGGATGGCCCAGAACCTCCTCACCAAGGTGACCTCCATCACCACACCCTTAGGACTGGCAGTGACTGGGCCAGATTATGAAAAATAGGCAAAGTCTTATCATTCAAAAAGATGACAATCCAATTTTAAGATGGGTAAGAGCTCTGAAGAGACACTTTGCCAAGAATCATATGCTGGTTTAAGACACGTGAAAGATACTCATAATCATTAGTAATCAGGGAAATGCAAATTAAAACGAGATATCACTTCACACCCACTAGAATGGCTACAGGTTGGAAAAGGCAGACAATCGGCCACAATGTACAGGGACTGGAAGCCTCAGACATTGTGGACAAGAATATAAAAAGACACAGCCTCTTCAGAAAACAGTTGGACAGTTTCTTATAAAGCTAAACATGAATTTCCACTAAGGGCCAGCAATGACATTCCCAGTTCTATGAAGAGAGACGAAAACACATCTATGTAGCAACTTTACGTGAATATTCACAATTGCTGTGGTAGGCAGAAACACAGCCACCCCCCACAAAAGATGGCCACATCAAATTTCTGGAACCTGGGAACACAACTGTGTGTGGCAAAACATTTGAGTAAGTTAAGGATCTTAAAAGGAAGAACTTTTTTCTGGATTATCTGAGTGGACCCTAGAGGCAATCACGTGTATCCTGGCAAGAGAGGGCCAGAGGGAGTTTGGGTAGAGGTACATAGGAGAAGGCACACACGTAGACAGAGGAAAAGACTGCGTCAGGGACTGGCACCACCACCAGAGGAGATGGTGAGGAATGGAATCTCCCTGGAGCCTCTGGAAGGAGCACGGTCTGTCAACACCTTCACCTTAGACTTCTGGTCTTCAGAACTCTGAAGCTTTAAATTTCTGTTTGTTTTTTTTAAGCCACTGAGTTTGCAGTAATTCGTCACAACAGTCATAGATAACCAATATAGTAGCATAATTCACCAGAGCCAAAAAGTGGAAACAATTCATCAATCTATGAACGAATAGCTATAGAAACCAGGATATATCCATATGATGGAACACTACCCCTCAGTAAAAAGGAACAAAATATGGACATATGCTATAACACAGGGGAACTTCAAAGACATTACACTAAATGACAGTCATTTGTGAAATCCCTATTTTTGGGCTTCCATTTCTTTGCAATGTCCAGAATAGGCAAGTCTATGGGAGATAGTAGCACTGATTACTAGTTGCCTGGGCAGGGGAGAGGAGGGAAGAGCAACAGAACACAATAGGGACCAGGGATGTTTCCAGGAGGTTGAAACCCTTAAGCTGGATTGTGGGGATGGTTACACAGCTCCGTGAATTTATGAATATTCACTGAACTATATACTTGAAAGGGGGAGGAAGATTTTATAGGATATAAATTCGAGTTCAAGAAAGTTATTTTTTTTAAAGTAGGTTTATTTCTTGCTATCAGTCTCTTGATAAGTAATCTGCATCCTTCCAGGCAAAAAGAACCACTTCAGAGATGCAGTCTAGCCATTTGCCTGCCAATTCAAGGAAGCGAGATGTTCCCCATTTCTGCAGTTCATTAGAGGTGAGTGCATGAGGATGCTCATTAGAGGTGAGCGCATGAGGATGCTCATTCAATCTGCCTCCCAAATTCCACAAGGATCATTAAGAGGGGAAGAAAGGTCCCCCTGCATTGCAAACCATGGGTACTCATTGCTCTTTCTCAAACCTACAATGCACCCTATGTATGTAGCTTAACTGCTGGCTTTTCCTTACCTCGCTGTCTATCCATGAATGGGAGGAGCATGCCTCCAGCCACATCTTTCTCAAGCGGCCTCTCTTTTTGAAGGGACTCACCCAGAGTGTTCTTCTGTAGTCTTGGCACAGAAGCCTGGACAAATCATGCTGAAATTAATTTACTCTTGAGCTTTTGGCCTACACTATGAATGCAGAACAAGGTTGGGCTAATGAAGTGTGTTCAGGGAAATTCTACTGGATTTAGATGTAGCAGTTAGTTCGTGATTGACTCCTACACCTCTTCATGGAACAGTGGACCACTGCTGCTATTCCACTGAATAGCAGTTCTCCTTCATCTGAGAGTCATGTGACACCATGGCTTTACCCACTAAGTGTATGTCTAGTTTTCCATAGAAAACATAGATCTCATATCCTTGACTCCTCCCCATTCACTCCCACTGAACCTGTTCCTTCCAGCGGCCCTGCTCACAGACGGAAACAGGAAGTAACAAAGTTGCTGTGTCACAATGTTTAGTGTAATGACCAAGCTCCATCTCTTCTTCATTCTTCGTCATCAGGGAAGTAGGCAGAAACTCTCAAAGGCAGCACCTAGCTCAAACATCTATCAAGGAGTGTCGTAAACACACACATACACCATAAACCAGTATGTTTCCTTAATTCCTAGATTCCTAAATTCCCCCCAAATTATCCTGGCCTTAATTATCTACCTTAGCCTCCATCACCTGGAAAATTCCACCCTCTGCTCCAGTCAAGACTCTTCGAGTGTCCCCTAAATTCTATGCTCAGCACACAGTTTATCCCTGCTAGGAACAGCTCATCTTCTGCTATGTAACAATCCAAAGCTCACATTCATAATTCTGTTCAACAAGTAACTGTGGACTTCCTATTACCCCACATGAATTCGTTTCTCCAACATCTGACATCTTATCCTTCCAACACAGTTTGGGTTGTTAATCTCAGATAATCCTGGTTATCATCTGCCACCAATCAGGAGGTGGCACAAATGTTGATCTGGCTGCACATTATTTTGTGTCTTTCAAATTTCAAGATACTGGATTAGATCCAAAGAAGGTGTTTGAGGCACAGAGTGACTTTTATAGAATTTACCAATTGATTCAGGTATTCACCACATCTTCCCTGAAGTTTAAGATACTTTGTTTTCCTGAGAAGCAGCAGCTGTGGTTCCCCACCACTCATGATATCAAAATAACCTCTCCTACCACTTTTGTTGATTACATGAGAGAATCTGCCTTTCCAATCCAGGCTTTCAAAGAGATTCCCAGGGGAAGCACATCCCTTCAAAAATGCCTTTCACTGGAGTAAAGTTGCAGGTTAGAGGATATTCATTAGCTTCACATCTTTGGGCAGAAGTATGAACAAGATTCCCAGTAGCAGTTGTCTGTCATCTCTTCATTCCAACAATGGACTTTTGAACCATGCCCTCCTTCTCCTACTCTTTATTACATCTCATTTCCATTGTATTTTATGGTATCACTTCCATATGTTATACAGTAACTATAAGAAGTGCATGTCACACACCACGTTATTATTTAATAAGGAAACAGATTCAGAAGGAGTAAACACCTTGCTCCCAAGTAATCCAGCTTTACAAGCGGCAAAGTTGTTATCGGCACTGGTGATGATGCCTTCATCACGTTTTAAAAGGCTGTTCCAGAATGGTGAAGGACTTCCCTGGAACAGCCTGGAAACAAAGAGAAGAACCTCATGGATTCTCAGTATGATGTCTGCTTTAGAATTCTCTCAGAAAATGGGAATCCAACTTCCAAACACAAGCTTTATTCTATGAATCAGCAACTGGTAATCATACTGTCTGCTTGTCTGGTGCTGTTTGAAGAACAGGCACACAACCAGCACTCAGTGGATGGTGCTTTCTCCCTGGAATGTGAGTAATCATTAGAGAGAAAGACAGATAAACGGGAAATAAGGGAAAATCCTGAGGGTTAAACAAAACACTATTGAAGATTCAACTATACCACTTCTACATGCATGACCTTGAATGAGTCCTCAGTATCAGCCTCAGCTTCCCATCAGTAAACTAGGCATCAGATCAGATGAGTCTAAGGGTCCCTGCAACTCCAACATCTCTGATTCATGAGGTGATGATAAGAAGCAGGAGAAACAAGTTGTGCTGTTTTGAACAAGCAGGCCCACCACAATCTCTTGTTTTGTCTGAGGAAATTAAACAAGAACAGGGAGTTGCTGAATATAAATTGCCTTGCTGGCTGCTATGTGCAAGGTTGGGAAAGACGAATTGCTGGAACTTTTCCCTAAGCAGCTTACTGTTTATATCATGGAAGTGTAATTTTACAGAGCCAAGTAGACAAGACAGTATGTCTACAAATGTAAAATAGTTTGCATTTTACCAAATCTTTGATTTGGCTTTTTCTTTTAAACCAGGCTTACATGAGAGAGGAAAAAAGAAAGTTGAGGTCTAAAGATTATGCAACAAGAAAACAACAGAATATACTAACAGGCCCCCAAATGAGGATCCATTTCAACAATGAAAAGTCTACGTGTTACTAGTATTTGATCTTTCTGATAAATTAGGTTCTTTCATGAATCCTCACATTACAACACCCTAAAGAATAAATAAAACGTGTCATTTCCTATTAGTCCTTTGGTAG